AACTTTATTTGATAGTCTGACAGAACCACATCTGGCTTTGTAAATGTAGAATTTAACTAAAATTATTAGATTATTAACACATTTGTTTTCGTGTCCAAACAAAATACATGCTTTTTGAGAGAGTATTTTTTAGTTTATTATTACTCCATGATTTGATCCTATTTTCTTAATTGTTTGTACACTAAATCTTCATAAACTTTCTACGTAAGTGCAGTCATGAAAAAGTTGTGTCATGGTTTCTTTGTAATCCCCACAAAACGTACAAAAATCACAATCCTTAATTTTAATATTCTTCAAAAAATATTTATTGTTTAAATTCTTGCAGTTATTCTGTATTGAAACCATTGATATTTTGTATTTTTTGTTGAGATAAAGGATGTGAGCATAATATTTTCCATTCCTCATTTGCTAATTCTCTTTCTAAATCAATACACTATTTATTATTTGCTCAGGCTACTTCTAATTTATCATACACAAACATCCTATATAAGCCTTTTATACCGTATTTAGACTCACTGAATAAAGAATTATAGTTTGTATTTACTGGATTTTCAGTATTAGATTTTAAAGGTAACATTTGTTTAAATCTTGTTTTTATTGCAGAAACAACAGCATGGTACTCTAAATAGTTGCATTTCATTATTATATTTCATAAGAAAATCTTGATAGAGTAATTTAAAAAACCTTCACCAAAAGTAAGAAGGTCGTTAACAAAACGTATTCCCTTTTTAAACCAATTTGAATAATAAATTGTATTATTACCAATCAGCATAACGTTATTCCTCCAAAAGGAGGAGCTCAATATTTCATTTAAACCTAAATTTGAATTATTAATTTGTGTAATCTTAGCCCCATGACCTTAATACATCTTTCCAGAAAAGGTTTTTTTAAATTCTCGGCTGTTTCAATAAGTAGAGAGCATCCATACTCAAAAATATAACATGGTGTTTTTACAATGACCTGAAACATTGAATGTATATTTTCAGCCAGTCTTAATCTCCTCATCCATGCTACCCTAATTTAAAATAACAATGCACATCTATCATTTTTACCCCATCATCGCTGTATCCTTGCACCATCAAATTTCGTTTTATTCTAGGTTTATTAGACCAAATAAATTTAAATAAAGAACTATGTAATGTTTGCATTATCTCATTGTATTGGTCTACAATATATTAAAACGATTATTCAGCTGGGATAAATGCAAATATTTACAAACAACTATTGTTCCCAATACGGTTCATTTTCTTTTCGACCATACTCAACTAGTTCGTTGATCTTTATTCTTGCCGGTGATTAATTTAAATCTTGCATTTCATTGAGGTCAAGAGAATGCCATGTAATTTAAACTATTTTTTCCCCATCGAATATTAATCTCAGGGCATAATTTTGTAATTTTGTATTTTTTTGTTCAGAACCATATTGCTACTGATTTTTCTACATTTATCTGTAGCCCTGACATATTTTGAGAATTTTTCTAGAGTAAAAAGTGTATTACGAAACGATTCGTTTGACCCATTTAGGATAAAATTTGTATCATCTGCGTATTTTCTTATAATGTACTTATCTATAAACAAGAATCCATTTATCAATGGATTTTTTTCTTACCATTTTTTTTTTCGAGTATTGCTACACATAAAATAAAAATATATGGAGATAGTGGGTCACCTTGTCTACATCCTTTAGGTATGTTAAGAAAGGAGACAAATTGCCATTCACTTTGACACAAGACGTTGATTCTATATTAAGGACGGTGTACCATTGTATTGACTCCTTTCCAAATCCCAATATGTGCAGTAAATTTTCTACAAAATCCCTTGACAAAGAATCAAAGGCTTTATTAAAGTCTACCAGAAATAATAGGCCATCCTTTTTCTTTCCTCTGCATAAGAAATGATGTCATAAATGGTACGTATTCCATCAATAATATTTCTCCCTTTTAGAAAACCACTCTGATCATTGGTTAACAGTGTGGGTAGCACTTCTTTTTTAAACAGTTAGCGATGGCTGATGATGCAATTTTGAAAAAAAAATGTATTTAAAAGGGATATTGGTCGCCAGTTCCCTATTCAATTTCTTGCTTTTAGACCTTTGCGTATTATCCATTGCCTTTGTGTTACCGAAAATTTACGGGCCTGAAATGCATGATTTAAAGATCTAAGGAGAAAAAAACGATACGTCTTTTCTTATACTTAACAAAACTTTAGAGTGAATCCATCCGATTCTGGGGATTTACCGTTTTTATTTTTTTTTTTCATATTTTTTAATGAATTTCTGGCATAGTTAAAATTCCTTCTAACTTAACTTTATCAGAACTTAACTTTATCAGTACTTAATAACTTTTTCACATGGTGTGCTGATAGTAATGTATCCAACTGACATACTTCTACTTCTGAAAATGCATATAGGTTTTTTATAAAAGTGAACTAACCCTGCCATTATATTTTTTGATTACAGGTTATGTCTTTCTGTATTTCATGGATCATTTTTTTACATAATTTCTTTTTTTTTTAATAAAAAAAAATATTTTGTTGGTTTTTATTCTTGTTCAATTCATGTGGCTTCCGATATAATACAAGCTCCAAGCAACCCTTTTCTCTAAATTTTTCTAACACTTCTTGTACGGTATTATGTTCATCTGTTAAAATTCTAGCATCTTCAGTTAGGTTTAAAACTAACAACTCCCTAATGGAAAGTTCCCAAGACTTGATTTCCCCCCCACAATTTTGATTTCTGTTGGTGGCTTTTTTTTTAAATTAGTCCACTGCTGTATGTAATTGTCATTCCTCTTATTTCATGTAATAATGTTACATACAATAACTGGTCAGTTATACTAAACATGATTTCATCTAATGGGGTATCTTCATTGTAGTTACGGGCATAATGTTTTGTCACAGTATTTATCTTTTCTTTAACTTTTTCAATATACTTAAAATCTCTTAACAGCGAGTCATTAAATTTTCACAATCCTTTTCCTCTGGAAATATTTGATAACTTCAGTTTTAGTATGGGGATTGATCTGACCTATATTTAGTTTCTATATTACATTTCTGTACGATGGATATAAGTTCTTTTGATATTAAAAAGAAATCCAGTCGCGCACCTTCAGTAAAGTTTCTAACGCTCCAGGTGTATTTTAAAGATGATTCATTATTTTTCCTCCATGGGTCGCATAATTTTAGTTCCTGTTTCATTTCCAAAAAAGATTGTTTAAATTTTGTTTAATGTAATGGTCCTTTTGTGTATCCTGGACCAGGTTCGAATCACCGCACCAAATTTTGTGAGTTGATTCTAGTTTTTCTACATTATTTTCAACATTAAGAATAATATTTCCTGTTTGGATCTATTTGTTTAGATTTAAGTTTGTATTCTAGGTTATTATCAAAAATGATTACTGTGCCAAGAGAATTGCCAAAACTCATAACAGTCTAGTCCCCGTGTAATTCTTTATGTCATCCGCTCTGTCTTCAGTCCAATGTGTATCCTGCAGACAGACCACAATTTAAGTGTCCGAAAATAATCAAATACGTCATTTCTTTTCTCTGTACTGCTAAGTCCCCGACAATTGAGTATTACAATTCGTATTTCACACATTTAAGTATCTTACAAATACAGATTAAGCATAGGATAATAATAATAATAATAATAATAATAATAATAATAATAATAATAATAATAATAATAATAATAATAATAATAATACATTTTTTTAAAAGGGAGAATTTAAACACCATACAGTCGATTAACTTTCCACATAATACGTGCACTTTTACCGCTCGGCTACACTTCAACTGGTATGTATAGTTAGTATAATTGCACTCATATATAACAACGACCAGTGGACCGGGCAAATTATACATATGGCGCACAGGGCCAGGGTTTTTAATCCCAGAATATCGTGTTGAGGATGTTATGGTTGCTCTGTCCTTATTTCCCTAAAGAAACTATTTGTAGTTAATTTGTAGGGTGAGTGTCTTATTAATGAATTGAGGGAGTATTGTACACTTTAATAGATACATTAGAGTACCCTCTTTCACGTAAAAATACAACATAGCTATGGTAAGACATGGAGGCTGGAAGGTATAATATTCCTATATATTTTGTGAAAATATTTGGCCCAGGGATTTGTTTGTGGTCATTGTGTGTGCGAATATGACTGGAAATTGTATCCTTTGTAGTGTGATTGGGAGGTTGGAGTCTGATGCGGCAAGTTTCACTCGCGGAAACTCTCTTTTTCATTTATTCATTCATGAGAGGTGCCTAATGTACATTTCACAGCCCTTATTGGTAATGTCTTGGTTGTGCAATAGCACGATTATTACACCTTGCTTGAAAATTAATGCGGTGATGCGTAGGCATGCCGATTTAGGTGAGGGAGTGAAGAAAAGCCATAAGGTATTGTTAGTTTTGAGTCAAACGATTATTTATCTGTTACTTTTAAATGTAATGATTACTCCCATACTCTAGTTTATAACATTTTTTTTTTACAAATGACAGCAATTACCAGTCAGCAGTCTGGCACGAACGGGAGCATGCGGTTCCTCAGCACCGAGGCGATAAGACTGTTCAGGCCGCGGCCTGATACGATATTTTAAAGATCCGAGCACAGTGGTATCGAATAGAGAAGAATGCTATACATTTAATGTGACGAAAACATCTCGTGAAAAATGACCGTCAAGGCGCTTATTTTCAGTCGATATTTGGCGTATATTTTCGTTGTCATCCGATATCCAGGCCAGAAATGTATATTTCTTTATATAGATTTTTTTTAAATTAAGATATTAGTATTTTTAAAAAAAACATAATGTAAACAATTTCCTTTTGCTCAGAGGTGGCAAAAATCAGGATGGCAACTGGTCTATGGTTGCGAAAAGCCGGGTGGCAACGGGCAAGGTAACGTGCCGAAAACCAATACAGAATACACTGACATTTTAAGAAAAATATAATTTTTCATTATATTTATGTTTTATTTATTTAATACAATATGATTGATAACTTACCTTTTTGGTTCTTCTGTTGATACTCGTTGTTCCGATATTAGTCAACAACTGTCTTATACAGGACGCATAACCTGAGCGAGCCAGTGCATGGAGAAGAGAGAAGCCTCTCTAACAAAAAAAAAAACAATTTAAAAAAAAGATATACCGCTACTAGATGGAAAATCCATAATGCATGTTTGTCGAATCCTTATCAGAACTTAATAATTCTGAATAATTTTAACCTACATGTTAAGTATGGATACCACTCTTATATAGCGCATTCCGCAAAGAATAGGCCTTGCTTCAATACCCAACTACAAGCAGTAAAAAAAAATACTTCAGCCAAGGAGGTTATGTTTTCGCCCCTCTTAATTTCTGTGTTTGTCTCAAAACAGCCTAAAGGTCACATTTTTTTTTTTCAGAAGCTCGTCGAACTTGGTCACAATGATCCATGACCAGAGATTTTTAGGTGAAGTTTTAAAGGATCAGGGTCAAAGGTCATTGTCACAATCTACAATTTTTTTTGTCGGATTAGAGCAAAGGCTGCCTGATAATTCATGCATACTATTTCCAACATCAAATTTGGATATCGTAAGCATGACTGATTTTGTAAATCAGGTGACTGGCTTACTTTATGCATATTAATTAATCTTGGTAAATTTTCAAAAATGAAGATGCGGATGTCTCGACTAGGACTAAGCTAGACCATCTCCCTTCTGCCTACCTACTTGAATAAAACAGTTAGCTAGTTTTGGCCTGCTTGAACGACTATGTTGCTTAAGTATTATTTTTTTCCATGAATGGATAACCCCAAAAAAGAAGTGGGGTCCGGGGGTCCTCCCCGGGAAAAGATTGATCACTAGATGTCAGGAAATGAGCTTTCCCGACTCTATGGTGTCTTTTAATGACTTTTAAGTTCTTTAAATTTTAAGATTTTCCTCTGCTTAAAAACGGTAAGTTAAACTTCTCATTCTTATTACTGTAAATACTAGTAGCTCTACTATGTGTTTATGTACAGTACAAAGCAAAAATTGAGTCGCTGCATACATATTCTTTTTTCAATAAATCGATAAACCCTAAATAAAACGGGGGTCGGGGGTCCTCCCCGGGAAAATGTTGGTTCTTAGATGGCAAGAAATGAGTTTTCCCAACTTCTGAAGTGTCTTTTAATCAAAATCCAAGGTTTTTTCCGTCTTTTAAACGGTCAGGTAATTTTTTCTCATTCTTATTACGGTTAATATGCCTATGTGAGTACCGATACAGAGAGAATTTTTTTAAATTTTTTTTTTCTAGGAGGGGGGGTCAGTACCCCCCTGACCCCCTCAGATCCGCTAACAGGCCCGGTATGCCATCTAGCCTAATTGCCATCTAGCTTTATTTGTTTGTGCCATTGCCCACACTAGTATTACTAGGGTCTATTCTAAATATTTTAGGCCTGTTTTATTTGAGAGGACTATTTTTTAGTCATGTCTAACTAGTCGACGCGAGTGACTCAGTTTCATGGCTCCGAAAATGTGAACTTTGTGATTGGTTGAAATTGTTTATTTCCGTCCTCCCATTTATTCAAATACGGAACATAAGATTAAGTCATTATTTTGTCATCCTGGTACCTGCATTCAGTGTTTTTTCAAGTCGCTTATTTCGTCTCTAAATTAACTTTCTCGTTGCTGGCGCTTTCCAGAATGAGAAAAATAATAAAACAATAAGAGACTTGTTGAAGTCTATACAACCTACAGTCAACAGATTTTGTCAGAAACCAATAACGATACTGATACTAATGATAATACTACTACTAATGATAATACTGCTACCCATTAGGCCTACCAAGATCTTTATCGATACCGACACCGACACAAATCATAACACTTAGAAATGTATACTGTAATACCATACTCCAAGTATTGAAATACACGCCATCGTGTTAGGATTGAATATATCGACATTAATTATGTCATGACATAATATTGAATCCCAACACGATGGTGTATTTCAGTAATTAAATTATGTATGATAATTTCTTATCTGAGATTTTTTTTATGGACCTCAATAATAGTAGTTTTACTACTGCTGCTGCAGCCGCAGCTGCTGCCGGTGCCGCCGTTGCTGCTACCACTACCACTATTACCACCACCACCACCACCAGTGGCAGATCCAGGAATTTGAAATACTGCGGAGTCCGCGAAAGTAAATTTTACAGACCACATCAGCCCCATCATGGAGATGCCAATAGGAGCTACCACTAATACCACTACCACCTCCAACAACAACAACTACTTGGTCTACTACTGATGCTGCTGCTGTTGCTACTACTACTACTACATTACTACTACTACTACTACTACTACACCCATATAGGGTGTCTATAAAAAGAAGACCATTACTTATGTCATCCATCCTATGTTGGTGTCACCACCAAATGACCGATGCTGCACATAAGCGTAACTATACAGCATTCCTACTGTTTATTTTAACATGGAACAAGTTTATGAATGGCATATTCAAGGTTTTTTTTAGGCCCCGAAAATATGCATACCACTAGGCCAAACCTTACTTTCGTTTAGAGGGTAGCAGCGCCAAGACGCGCTCTACCACCAGCCACGGACGTACAACATTGGTTGCCGATTTGGAAATGGAATAAAGAGTAAATCATTAAATTGACTCACATTCAGGCAATAATGTGCTAAAAAGACGAATACTACATATACCATATACATAGCATGAAGTGATGTAAAAATTATTTTAATCACGATTGAGAGAAAAAAAAAGTGTGGGTCTTCGTTTTTCTTGTCTTCGGTCTTCGTTTTGTAGACACCCATAAGGGTGTCTATAAAACGAACACCCTTATGATATTCCTCATTTTGTTCCGATAAGATAATGAAATAGGTTCTTGACAACTGTTTTATGATAATTTTGAAATACTTTCAATAAGTTTTGTAGACAACCATATAGGGTGTGTATAAAACAAAGAATCTTGAAAAGTTCACAAACAGACGGCCAAAAATTTCGTAATTTTTATTTTGTGACAGCCTGGTGTATCATCATTAAAATAAAAGAGAAAAAATAGGGGTCTTCGTTTTGGGGTCTTCGGTCTTCATTTTATAGACACCCTATCTTATGTTTTAAAATAGAAGTAGGCATCTTTAACCGCCTGGTATTTGAACCTGAACGAAGATCACTGTGATTAGACTGGTTAAGTGTGATAATGTCAGTAAGGTTGTACACAGTCTATGAAGCATTTAAAGACGATGGTGGGTATTTTGAATGTGATACATTCATACCTGCCAACATTCGAATATCAAAAATAGGGACGCTATTTATTGGTGCCATGCCTCTCCCACCAAGGTATAAATTGGGTGAGTAGGCCTAGGCCTAGGTCGGTAAATTTAACAAATGCTCACACAAAATAATAAAGGAATTGTCTACGAATTCTCCCGACTTGAAGCTCTTCCAATTGCTTAGAACAGACATTGGTCACCGTAAAGTTGAATACAAAGCCCATCCTTGTAAATTCTTTTGTTGTTTACTGTCGCTAAAAATAAACAGCTCGCCAACTGCCGCTAAAAATAGACAACACCGCGGTCCGTCCCTGAAAAGACCCACCCAGTGGGCTTATCGGATCGGTAATTCACAGCGTAAAGACTCGCAATTTTGTTCGCATGTTCCACAGCTGCGGCTAAAAATAGACAATACAGCGGTTCGTCCCTAAATAGACCCGCCCAGTTGGCTGATAGGATCGTTAATTTATAGCGTGAAGACACGTGCTTCCACAAAGATTCGCTTCTAAAAATAACTCGTTACATCATTCAATAAAAACAAGTTTAGGCAAATGTTGGCCTAGCGATATGTAAGACCAAGATATGGCCTAGGTAGCTAGCACCTTGGCCTACTAAACTACAATTAGGTGCTCTCTGTTCTTACTTTGATGCTCGAGTGAAGACTGATTTCTTCGCCGGAATATTTTTTTTTGATAGGATATTGAATCGTAGGGCAATTGTTGAAATGCATCTGCCACATATAGCAAAACGATCGTCATTTTCGTCTGTTCATGCACTAGGCCAGGAAATCCCCGGGTATAATTCTACCCCCAAAAATCTGGCCAAATTCGCGTTCATGGGGCTAGGATTATACCCGGGGAACTACGGACTATTATTCCCTTCATCACACTGGCAAGTAGTGGATACTTCTTACAAAAACAGGGACGTCCCGATTTTTTTGGTGATTTTGAAATCGGAAATCGGGACGATCCCGATAAATCGAGACGGTTGGAAGGTATGTACATTTATGAACCGCAAGTCAATGCAGCTTTCGCGGAGAAGGGGTGTTACATAATCTTTTTTTTTCGCCATAAAAATCAGCTTAGCATTTCTGTTTTGTAGGTACTGATGGGGGTCAATTTCTTTGCAGGATGAGCCTTTAATTAATATAACTTGTGTAGTCAATACATGAAGAGCCAGAATTGCGTGATGACAAGTATTATCATCGATGGAGGTTCTAAACGTGGGATAATTTGTGTAGTCAATACCTGAAGAGCCAGAATTGCGTGATGACAAGTGTTATTATCGATGGAGGTTCTAAACGCGAGATAAAATTCTTTATTAAATATTGTTTTGCAAATTTACGTGTTTATAACGCTGTCATACCGAACACGAAGGTTTATTTAGCTACGAGAAAGTTTAAGTATGTTGTTACCGATATTATTGGAAACATCCTGATAGTTTGTTCATCAGTCTTGGGTTTTAAATTACTAAAAGTTCTGTTTATCTTCATTTAGGAGAAGTATAATTCCCGACAAAGTCACCTTAATATCTGGAATAAATTCGATCAAATTCTAAAGTGTCCGCTTTGTTTCGTCAGGATTCCAAGGATCAAATGAAACGAAAGTTGTATATAATCAATGTAAAAATGAAATTTTACTTCCTGGAAATGATTAAAGTTGTCAGTTAATGGATGTGTGTAGTATGACAATATGTGAGGTCAAAATACATGAGCCCTGTGGCAGACCAAAATCAAGAACTGCAGGATCTGAATATTCACAGGCGATCTTTACACAGAGGTAAGACTGAAATCAGTTTTTGACATTATATTTAAACCAAATGCCGGGGACAATCTGTGAAAGAGTACGTTGTGGTCAATCGAAAGATGACAATTCAAGCAACACCATAGTCACCACTTGTCGATTATCGATCACCTGATCTACGTCTCTCGTGGCCCTTTACAAAGAAGTCTATGTAATGGTCAGTTCTGTTAGCTGACTTAAACATGGGACAAAAGTTGTTCTCGTTGAAGTGTTCAGTTATCTTTATATATCTTGGAGAGAAAAAGAGTATTTGACACAGGCCTGTAGTTTCTTAATGTTTCTTTATCGAGAGTTTGCTTCTTCAGTAAAGGTTTAACTATTGCCTTCTTCAGAACAGTGAGTTGAGAGCTCTACAGTAGACAATGATGTATTTACTTTTGAAGTACCGATAGTTGTAGAAAAACAAACAAATATTTCCTTTAAAAAGTCACGTAGGAAGTGGGTACAGAGAGAAGGATTTATTAGATGAATTTTAAAGAATAGGTTACAAATTTCTTCTTGGGTAGATTCTCTAAAATATCTCATCTTAGTCACTACACACAGCTGTGCTATGTTGGAGATAT